TGTTATCACTCGGTAGTCGGCAGCCTTCATGCTACGACCACTACACTGGTCCCTGGCGTTTGATATTCTCGTCACATTCACGCTACCCGTCGGTCGGCAGCACCTACCCACGAATCGTCACACGAGGCCACCTCAAGTGGTGACACCCCCGTACGGAGTGTCTGAATACGCCGCTGCGTAGCGCTGGTTGAACGACTTCCTTAGGGAGCCCCAGAAACCGGTGGTCTTCGTCCGGTATGCGTTGGCGTAGTTGTTGACGTTGATGCGGCTGGGATCGAGGGGGCTGCTGCTGCGCTCACTGTCCGCAGCCGGACACGGGCCGAGTGCGCGCTCGTCACGACGTTGACGCCACCTGCAGAACGCCATCAGCCCTACGAAGATGAGGAGGGCGCAGCCGCCGACCGCGCCGCTGGCGATCACGGCGTGCCGCACGGCCGGACTGATGCCGCCGCTCGGCGGAGACAGCTCGATGTCGAAGACAGTCGAGTCCACCTGGTGCTGGCCCTCTCCGCCACCACCGCCGGCCGCCGCCCACATGGCCTCTGTCTCCTGGTTGATCCGCTCGAAGAGCTCGTCGTGCGGCAGCACGGTGGGCAGTGCTGGCTGAGGTTTGTGGTCGGATAGTGGTGGTGTGTCCAGCCGACGCGGAGGGTCGCCGATTGGCGCCGGTGGCAGTAGGGTGACCGGGCGGCCGTAGATGGCCGGTGCCGGCGAGAGAAGTCGGATGCCCGGCTGAGTGTCGCGCTGTTGGTCATCGTCATCCTCTCCCAGTGGCACAGACAGTGTCATCGGCTCATCCGGGTCTCCTTGGGCGCCAGGAAACGATGTGGATGTGGTCGGTGTATATGAAGAGGTGGCAGGAACTGCTGTGGTGGTGCGTAGCGACGCACGCCAGCCTACGCCATTGTATTCTTCGAGAATGGCGGTCACGTTACCCCCGCCAGAGATAAACTGTTTGAGCGTCTGCTTTCTTATGCCAAGGATCTCCTTAAGGCTATAAATTTTGCCACTGACATCGGCTTGTGGTTTGATTGTAGACAGTTCTTCGATGGCATCGTCTTCAGTGTCAGGAGAGGGCGTTGCAGAATTATATTCCAGAAGCAACTGCTTGACGTCACCGCCCCTTGCCAGAAACTCGGGCAGCGAGACCTGCTTCTGTTCGAGAATCTCCGCCAGACTCCACTGCTTCGGCCGCCGAGGGGCCGACTCTGTCCCAGGGTTGACAGCGTTTTCCAGTGGACTTCGGTCAGAAGGCAGCTGTTTCTCACCACCCGACGAGACTCCGGCTTCCTTGTGATGTTTCTCGTCTGGCTGGTATTCGTACGGGAGCTGTGCACTAGACTGAGCTCCAGAAGGGCGCCGAACCTGGGGGTCTACTTGGTCTGTCCGTGCGGTCGTCGGGGTCGGCGCAAGCGTCTCATCCGTCACCGGGATAGGACGGCCCTCTCGTCTGGCACGCAGTCGATCTATAATCGCCATCACGTCTGCCATTGTGTAGTCGCTTCTCAGAAAGGCGGCCAGGCTCTGACCGGACTCTACGAGCATTTCTGCCAGACTGAACGGCTGGATTGCTGACCGCACCTCGTCCAGTGATGGGGACGCGGTGGCTGCTGCGCCTGCGTCGGTGCTTGGGTTGGGTACCACCTCGAAAGAGGAACTAGTGGTCGCCTGCGTGGAAGAGGAAACTGGCCTAGTGATGCGCTGTGTGGAAGTGAAGGGTGAACTTTCCTGGCTGGTTCTAGTCTCGTCGGTCGGTGGAGACGAAGGCTTTGTCACAGCGGACTGAGTACTGGTGACTGGAGCCCCATTCCCGAAGCGGTAGAACTTTGAGAAGGTTGGTCGTGACTGCAGACGTGGGATGGGTTTTCTAGTGCTTTTCTTTGGTTCCCGGTCGAAGTCCGTGGGCATTGTAGAAGACTCATCAAGCTGGTCATTGCTGTGTTCCTCAGAGGAATGAGTTGAAACTGAGCTTGCTCCTTCCGTAACAATGTTGTCACGGTATGTGTATGGAGCAGCATTTTGTTTTGTTGTTAGGATGGTTGGCGCTGACGTTGTCGCATGCTCAACAGGTGTTGCTAGATCCTGGCTCATAGCGGTGGACAATCCGTCGACCAGCTCCGATATTGAATCCTCAGTTGACCGTACTGTAGGGACCTGTACTTCTGGCTCTGTAGTTGAGACAATGTTGGGAAGCGTTGTCTGAGTATCATCATATTTTGTCATTCCCACCAGGTCATTGTACGCGGTTTCTGTTGCAATAGTTGAGAACTGCTGATCAACGTTGGCCTGGTTCATATCATCCACGTCCTGTTGATCGTTAGGGGCTGCGGTTGATGTCACCGAAGTCTGTTGATAACTGTCTGGCATCAACTCTCTAACCATACCGCCCTTGTGATGAGGGGCATCGATGTCGTCTGTCATTCCAAGCTGATCGTCAGAATACGCAACTGCTTCTGTCATGTCAATCTGTTCATTGGAAGTGTCTGCGTGCCCATGATTTGTTAGATCGAGCTCGCCATCAGAAGAATCAGTCGCTGCGTCCATTTGGAAGTGATAGTCAGGAGAGCTTGTCACAGTATCTGCCCCGTCCTGCTCACTGCCCGCGAACTCTGGGAAATTCGAGAAGAGGTACAGACTTGAAGGAGTCGGCGCAGAGCTGCTGGTGAGCTCTGGTGCTCCTATTCTGTAAGGATGGCTCGTCACTGATGCAGTCGATTGGCTGATGCCCCGTGGCGCCTCCTCTTCCGTGTCTTGATCCTCACTGTACGTCACGGTAGCTGCTTCAGTTGACGATTCACTTGTGCTCAGAGGCGCGATACCTGATTTCGTGTCCATCAATACCGGTTGCCTTGTTTGGTCGACGTGTGATAAATCACCATCGCCTAGACTGCTTTCAGAGGTTGACCGAACAATGCCTAGCTCTCCTCGTTTTGTGGTTGATATTGTTTCGTCAGCAGGGTTTCCTGGCGAATATAGCACAGTTGTAGCAGTGCTCGGATCGATAGTGGTCGCAGCACTCGGCATATCAAATGCTGACTCGTCGTTGTTAGCAGCAGCGTCAATATTTGTTTTTGAATACGGTAGTCCGTTTTCTACAGACGTAAAACCATTGATCGACGCCTCAGTTGTCAATGGTAGCTCTGTGTCATCGTCGTAGAGCTCAAAATCATCATATGCAGCGTAATCAATGTCATTGGTTACTTTTGCTGTCGAAGTAGCTGGCGTTGAAGTGACCTCTGCTTCATGGAATATTTCTTGGAGAACTTCCCCAACAACATCGTCTATCAACCCACCGTACGGTGACGGCTTGTCGTTCCAGTAACCATTCTTCTCGTGTGAAGAAGAGGCTTCTGTGCTAGCTTCCGTCACCGCAGGCACAGCCTCAACGACGTCAGTACTGTGCGAGCTAGTGACGCCAATATACTCATCATCTTTGTCGTGACTTGTTTCGAAGTACATCTCCTCCACCTTTCTTTTGGAGCCAGGTATACTCTCCTCAAAGACATTGGCTTGTCTTTCCGATCCAGCCATCTTCTGGCCGGATGTCGTTTTTCTTGATTGAGTGTCGTGGGGCTGGTCGATTCGCCTGGACTCTGCACCTCTCCTGCGGCCCGGTTTTTGCAGCCCTCTGCGTGAGAGCGCGTCCTCCAACTCTGTCGCTTTAGTAGTGCTATAATCATCAGACTCCATCCTCTCAGGGTATGCAGCTTCCTCATGCTCCGTGATGGCAGTAGAGACGACATCCTCCCGCTCTGTACTGCTAGAAGGGGTGATGGTTCTTGTTCTGTGACCCCAGCAGAGACTGTGTCCTCCGGCTCCGTCGTTGCGGCAGTGGCCATCTTCACCGGCCTTCTGGTTACCGCTGCTGGCCGGAGCTCCATGAACTCTGCGTTGTGATCGTACCAGACGTAGTCTCGCTAAGTATCAATGATGTCTTCTTCACCATGAGCCTCTGAAGCTAATGGTGATTTAGAAGTCGCCGGGAAGGCGAGGGGTACGTCCACATTGCTTAGATCATCAGTCTCATAGTCGTAGTAGTCGTAATATGCATCATCGTATTGGAGAGAGTCTTCGTCTGCGCTCTCGATGGTAGGCCATACGATCTTGTTAAGCTCTGCGAGTCTTTCATCAGACAGCTCTTCTTTCTCTGCGTTTACCTGACCGACGTCACCTTCTACGGCTTGTTGCGCTGTGTTAGCTTCCGTGACACCGACAGAGTCTGTAGTGGAGTCACTGTCAGAGACTGTGCCAATCATCTCTGGACCCGTAGATTCTGTGCTTGCAGAGTCCGTAGCCGACTCGTCCTCGCGACCTCCGAAGGGTCGACCCAGCGGAACCCTTATGACATCCTTGGAACTCAGCGGTGCGCGGCTCACCTGGGATTCGTATCTGTGCCGCCTGTGGACGACAGGAAGTGTTTTCAGGTCGTCCTCTTGTGCGCCCAGGCCGTTCCCTGACTCAGTCAGCAGAGCTGAGAGCGCCGCCAGCTCAGCAGCTACATGGACAGGCGAGTGGGGCTCGTAGGTCGCTGGAACACCTGCTGATCCCCAAGTTTCCCTGGCGGGCAGACGGGTGCGCTCGACGACGTTCACCGCCGGCGGACTGGCGGTTTCTGCAGTCTCCGGCGTGGTACGCATACCCTCCGATGCGCCTGGCCCGGCGTCGTACCGCTCGCCGTCGTCATACTGAGTGGTCTTTTGGCCGTATTCGGTGGGGGTTTCGGGTCCCGCTGCATCCTCTCGTTCCGTCGCCCCCAGCGCGGCTGCCGCCTGGCTGGCAGCTGCTGCACCCAGTGCCAGCTGAGCGTAGTGGGCGGACGGCCGCAGGCCCCACCCGTCCGGCTGATCGCTACGCCGCTCGCCAGGGTTTGTCGCGCGTGTGACTGGGTGTGTCACGCTGCCCCGGCCGGTGTTCGTCGTCCTTGGCCGCCAGGGCCGCCGCGCTGGCTCGGTGGGGGAGCGGCAGAGGCCTGCCTCGGTCGCTCGGTGGCCGGTTGGTCATCAAACCACGGTGTTGGCCGGGGTCCTGAGCGGTTGTCTGACGCACCGCCGCCGCCCGCTCTGCGGCTCCTGTCGTCTGGTTGGGCTCGGAGCCGGCCGCATCCGTAAGTCTGTACCTAGCTGTGAGCCGGCCGCCGGTCTCTCTGGAGGGAACGCCTGCTGGTGCTGGAGCCCTGCCGGTCCGTCGGCGCGACGAATACCTCCGGGCTGCGACCTCTCTGACGCTGATCGGTCGGGTCCCCTCCAGTTCTGGACATCGGGCGCTTCTGCTGGTGCGCTGGACGACGGCAGCGCCCCTGGTGGCGGCCGAGGGTACCACTGGTACTGCTGGCGCTCGCGGGACGGCGAGAAGCGCAGGCTGGGCAGGCGGCCGGCGTGCGGTGCCGTTAGGTGTGAGAGCACGGGTGGCGGCGGTATCCGGCGACGCTGCCCGCTCGGCCGGGGGTCGGCCAGATACAGGGGCCGAGAACTGCTGCTCTCCGGTCTGCGGACACACAGGAACAGTGTCACTGAGAGCGGCAGAATAGTCACTATTGGCGGCACAATGGTCACTAGGGGCGACACACTGGTCACTATGGGCGGCACAATGGTCACGAAGGGCGGCAGACCGGTCATTAAGGGCGGCACACCGGTCACTAGTACTACATAAGAGCGACAGACTGACAACTAAGGGTGACAGACTGGTCACCAAGGGCGGCAGACTGGTCACTTGTTGGACGGCAGTTGTTACTTATAGCGACAGACTGGTCACTAAGGGTGGCACACTGATCACTGACGGCAGACTGGTCAAGGGCCGCAGTCTGGTCAATAAGGTCGACAGACTGATCACTGAGGGCGACAGATTAAGTGACAGAAGACTGGTCACTAAAGACGGAACACCGAACGGACACTATGTGCGGCAGACTGGTCACTAGGGGCGACGTGATGCCAAAGACACATTAGCTCCTATGTTTTTGGATAATTTGACCAACGTTAATCATTGGTGGTGAAAGGTGTCCGGATTTGGCATTATCAGTCATCATTAGTATCGCCGTAAATGCCTAGTCGCCTACCCCTACGTTTTTATGAGGAGAAGAAAGCTCCACTTGACAAATGAAACAAACAGAGTTGTTTGTAGTAATCATGCTGCTACAGACTGTTCTTTACACATGATGATAGACAAAACTGACGCTCATTTGTGTTTGGATGTCATTTGGGAGAGCGTTGTCGCCCCCCCCTCCCCAGACAGCCCGCTGCCCCGGCCCATTATAAGCCCAAAGCTTCCGCTGCCTCGCACGCCGTCACCCTCCAATCTATGCAAAGCACCTGGTCGCAGCGTGCGTGATAGGGAGCACAGCAGCCGCCGACACTGAAAGTCAGTCGTATGCAAACGAAACTGGGCCAATGTAAATCCGGCGGATGGGAACCGGTGCCGCGCCGGCCGGCCGGTATACGGGAGCCGTGCCTGCGGCCGTCCGCGGCACTGGCTCATCTACTGTGGTATCGGGGCGGCAGAGTGTTGCAGAGGTGGGTGTAAATACCTGTCTGCCGGCGACCTCCTCCTCCAGGGCGGCCAGCTCTGCCGCGTGCTCCGCGAGGACTCCTGAGCCAGCATCTGTCGACCGGGAGACGGGGTTAGTGACAGCTGTATTAGTGAGGCGGGAGGGTATAGGAGATTTATGGAGACGGGAAGCGGGAGCGAACAGACACTTTTACGAGGGAAGGCTCAGAGTTCAAACAGCTCTGAGCCATGTGCGGATAATTGAGATGGGCAGTGCCAGATTATTGACAACTGCACCAATGGCGGACAGCATGGAGCCGCTTGATGAAGCAAGATTAGATGACAGCTAACCATATTTGCCTACATAGGTACACCAAACAAAATGATCATCCAGCCACGATCACGTGATGATTAACCCGGCAGGCGGTGGGCCTACCAGCCACCTTCCGCGCGGTGGAGGGGGGGGCATTTTTTGCCCCCCCCCCCGTATCTCCGAAACTACTGGACGGATCCGAAAAATTCAAACGGCGTTCGATAGCCCTGTCAAATTTGTTGAAGGAAACCAAATTTCATTGACCTCGGGGTCACCGATGACGTCACAGGTCAGGTCAAAGATAAAATGTTTCACCGTTCACGGGGCTTCTAGGGAAAGCGCTATAACACCGAGGCGCTATAACATTTTTTGGCGCTATAACACCAAAATTCGAAAAAACGAAATAGCAGTTTTGTAGCCCTTTTGATTCTACACCTTTTATGTCTGTAACATTTTTCTGTATCTCTAAAGCTGTAGGCCTGACAGCTCTTCCCGCGAAACCTTTTTTTTGGGTCGAAAATGGCAAAAATGACGTCACTCTGACGTCATTAGCGGCCAACCTATCATAGCCTTTAGAAAAAATTTTGGTCACCATGTGCGCTAGCTGCTCACGGGAGGGTACTGAAAGTTTGGTGACGATCGGCGCAGCGGTTCTCGAGATATATTGAAAAAACTAAAGGGGGGGGCAAAAATGCCCCCCCCCCACCACCGCCTGGAAGGTTAAAATATCTAATATACGCATACACTAGCTGATAAGGCGTGCACAGCGTGTCCGCTACAATGCAATAGAGTGGAGCCGAGTAATCCCCAGTTTTCGAGTAGTTTTAGTATGTAGTAGTAGTTTTCTAGTCTTACCTCCCCGTCAAACTGGACGTTGACCTGCGCTGTGACGACCGCGACTGACATCAGGAAACCGATCCAGACCAGACCAGACACCGACTCGGGCACGCCCCTGCCGAACAGATGAAACAGCATCGGCCACCAGTCAACTGCATGGCGCAACAGCCGGACGGTGCAAAACGAAATGGGTCAGTATCATGTGTCATGACATAGGACAGGTTTAGTAAGTCTTCCCACTTATTTTCTTTACAGTGCTATACAGTGTTCACTATTCACAGCTATAAAATCCGCATGAAGGATGTGTACGGTATTGAGATCAAATGTCACCAAAAGCACTATTAGGTAAGTGTAGGTATTTGGTATGCATTGGGGCACGTTACCCACGCTCTACGGGGCAAGCTGAGGGTCTAAACTCCCCTGTCTTTCTCCTCGAAACCTAAAAATGTCGAATTAGCCATTAATCTTATAGTACCTTTTCCCATATCACTGCAACAGTGAGATTGTCCGGGGCTATTCGCACATTTCACGGTACCTCCATGACGTTTTGTACGGCACCGATCAGTGCGCCTAATCTAATCACATATAACGGCTTTAAATATTTGCAATAACCCGCGCCGGGCCGGGGGGTGTTTGTCTGTTTGAACACCCCCTCCCCTGCGGTTTTTCGCCTAATCACATATAACGGCTTTAAAGGGACCCTCCCACCTTAACATTAGTTTTGAGTTGAGATAGCCAAATTGGTGGCCATGGCCTGAAAATACCGGTTTGGGCATTCACAACATCGAAAAATGCTTTAATTCGGAGATATGGAATTTCAAACTTGCAGTTTTCGGATTCTAAGGGGCTAATGCATTGGTATGCCCCCTTAGAATTTGTGACGTCAGCGGAGATCTAACGATTTTTAAATCTTTTACTAAAACGTTTGGCAGCACGCGGTGGTATATGCTGCTTTGCGCGCAACAAATGCCGCACTTTCAAATAAAGTCGCTAGGAACAGCGGAGATCCCAAAAAGTAAACAAAAGTAAAAGTCTAATATCTTGAAAACCGGTGAATTTTTTCGATGAAATTTGGTAGATATTCATTTTTGCTCTTTCTGAACCGAGCGACATCATTTTCATGCCAATTCATTAACTTTTTTGAAGGTGGGAGGGTCCCTTTAAAATATTTGCAATAACCCGCGCGGGCCGGGGATGTTTGTCTGTTTGAACACCCCCCCCCCTGCGGTTTTTCGCAGATATCTCAAAAACGGCGGCGCTCCGCGCCGCTGTTTTTGGCACACCTCTTCGTGCATCTTTTCCGCACATGTTGTGAAAATTTCAGACCCAGGTCGCCTTAGGTCAGGTCACCAGGTTACGCCAAGTGACCTCACCTCGGAAAAAATAAGAATGCTCGTCATAGCTACACTGATTGATCGATTGCCTTGAAACTTTCAGCGATTGATAAGAGCAACATTATCAATAAAATGTTCATCTCGGAATTTTGATATCGGTGACCTAAGGTCAGGTCAATTTTGCGGCTCTCCATTATAGGTCAATGGGAGAAAATTGAAAAGCGTCTGTTTTGCACGAACGCTATTCTAGACACTCTCAAACATCGAGATGTAGGTAAAACTGACACACTGAACCGGAAAATGGCAACTGTGACCCTCGTTATGTCCCCGAGGTCATCTCAGGTCACGAACAGAATCTAACAGTTTTTCGCTAATAACTACTGATAGAGGCGTGCTAGAGCGCTGAGAACGCCTTAGATGTGTTCGGCTCGACGTTGCGGATCGACTGATATGCAACATGACCTTTTCCGGTCAGGTCATGACCTTGACCTGAGTTCAAATTTTCAAGTTGACCTTTCAAGGTCAAATTATAGTTCATTCGACGCGTCTCGACGAGAGGAACACGATGCTGACAAAAGTATTGTCATGGCTCTTTTGAGTCAAAAGTTATTGCCGAAAAAAACGCTTTTCGTAAAAACGGCTATTTTTGGAGTTTTTGCCCTCTGGAGGCTAAACCGTTGACCTGAGGTCAAATCTGAGAACATTGCCCAGAAAGGTCTGTAAAAGGGCTATCGAATGCGCTTTTCCGCGGCGCTGTAGCTCTATCGGTTCCCGAGATAGCCGTTGGCAGTTTCCAAAATGTTGAAATAGTCAACATTTTACCTTTGGTGACTCTCGTGACCTGACCTTTGACCTGATCTAAAAAATGACCTAGGTGTTTTCGTCCTTATTTTGGACGTTCTTTCGATTGCCGCTTACCGCGTGTCGCTACGTGGCCCAGGAGCCGAGTTAGAAGGGGAGTGTTCAGATACCCCGCCCCCCGGCCCGGCGCGGAATCTCAGAGCACCGGCCCGGCGCGGGATAATACAACACATTGCCCTTGAATAGCTCCTTTTGCCAGCGGCCGGAGAGTGACGCCGGGTGACGGAGCAGAGCAGGGAGTGACTCCGGACGACGCGCGGCGCCACTTCTCTCCCCGTCGAAAGCCGGCGTCACGCCGCATGGAGCGCACATACCGCCACGGACGGACGGCCACAGAGGCAGGGCCAGGTGTGTGGCTGTCGACCCGTACCAGAACAGACGCCAGTGAAATCGAGAGCTGTGTGCATAGTTACAGT